GGGAGTACTGTTGGCACAATGTGAAACCTATATTAGCTTGCCTGGGATAAATAGTAATAAGTGGATGTATAGCTAGCTCTATCATATTTATAATAATTGAGTGATGCTTTTGGTAAATGCTCCTAGTCCTATATAGAGCGGGTATTCAAAGCTTCACTTCAGTCGCGTTTCTTTCCAAGAAATTTTCTTTTTCGGTACCAAATCTCTTCATAGATTGGGCTAAACAGGTATCTGTCTGTTTGGGTTAACCTTCCTGACCCATTTCGTATTGATGTTCCTCAATGGCCCATAACTTTAACACTTAATGTTTCTAATAATTGTAATTTTTTTTGAAAGTGATTCTAATATTTGTAATTAATTAATAATTGTGCAGAAATCAAACATTTTTTTGCCTTCCAAAAGTAACAATTTTTTTTTATAGGAGTATTTTCATGTTTCCCAATAGATTTCTTGGTAGATTATCATTCATTTCTTTGGACTCATGAAAACCCTGCAGGATGAAGCTAGAATGGTGTCTCCAAGAGCTGTCATATCCCTCACATTTGCAGTAAACATCGTTCCACTTAATTCATAGTTATGGTCGACAATTATATTCCTAATACAAAAAGATTACAGCATAAAGTACCCCACTATCTAGAGAAAAATTGAGAAAGACATATCTTCTGTCAGGTCCTCTGGCTTTAAGATTCTGGCAAAAGCAACATTTAAGTCCAACAGAAACTTGTAGAAAGATTCGTACTTGCATTAGAGCACAGGTCTTGGCCCCCTCAAACTCACAAAAACCATTTGCCCCTAGCTAGATCATTCATACATGACCTACTGCTGCATGACTGCGTCCCTTCTTTAATTAATAATAATCCCTTAGCTTGCTAGACCAATCAAACTCGAAATGCAAACTACCTTGATTTCGTACTATATCTTTCTCTAATTAAAACCCCTTTCCTCTCCCTTTTCTTGCCATAACCTGTTAAAGAAGAAGGCTATTTTGAACTTTGCAGGTTGCTTTGCATGTCTAATACATCAATGAAGTGAGATAGTCATACTATATACACAGTTCTTACCTGTAGGGCTCATCTAGGACGGCTAAAATATACTATATAGTACGGGAATATGGAATTGAAATTTGGCATATATACCTAAACCATTTCCATTTTTCAGTTTAAAGAGTCACTTCCATGTTGAATAAAGAAAGTTAATGCACACTATTTTTCCTCTTTATCAATTAGAGTTAGATTCCTGAGGTTGCAATACCTTTTTTTTTCCCTTATCTTTTCGTCCTTCTTACATGTAAAGGGTAAGGCATCAAATTTCATTTTTTTAAACAATAAACCACATCATGTATAAGAACCTCAATAACTTGAACATAAATCTTCATGCAACTTCGATCCTCCAACCCAACCAGATAATTGTAGACCCAAACTAATTTTTTTTTCTTTGCACGCAAACGATATATTTAATATATTTAAGTGTTTCGTTAATCATTTTGTATATGATTTATCAATATGGATATAATTAAAGAAGTTAGTTATTATGGTTTACATCAATTTATAAAGTATTGTTTATTTTAATTTGTTAAGTTTACAATTTTATCTTACAAAAAATATCGTACAAGTTGAAAATGATTGACATCAACCTCAAATGTCACTTTAGTTCGTACACAGACAACCAATGTGGGATTAACAGCTCTCATTAAGTTCGTGACATCTTCTCTACTCTAATAAAGATCCACTTTCCAGTTCGATTTGGTACCAACAGTTATGGTCCATATTATCTTGTAAGATATTATTTGCTTTTATTTCATTGAATTTATAATTTTGTCTCATAAAAAAAGTTTCACAAATTGAAGATGTTATAAATCTTAAATGCTCAATCTCACTTTAATATACAACTAATGTGAGATTTATGATCCTAATCATAACCTTTTCCTCGATATGAGATTAATGACTCCTCACTTGGACCATTATATCCTCCTTGATGTAAGACTAATGGTTCCATTAGGATCATGACACTAATACTAGAAGTTTATTACATATAATTTCATTCATATTTATTAAGATTTTTGGCTGTTTAGACCAAGAAATTATTGCCTTTCATACATAGCAGATCATTCATATAGGAACAATATATACTCAGAAAGTACCACAAGAACGGCAACTGATATGCTACCCATTGAATAACTTTCTTAGTGCACCCACGTCCCTGTCTGGATTCTAGTGCATAAATGCTCACCTCAACTTAATCATCGAGGCAAAGTGATAAAAATGAAGAAGAAGGAGGGTAACAAGTAAGGAAAAGAAGATAGAGAACGGGATGGCTTAGTGACAAAATTTTGGCTTTTCGTCATTTGATGAACACAAAGACATAAAATGAACAAAGTTTCCACGACTGCTAAATTAACTTCTTAGTCAATATTTTAAGATAGTATTGAAATTAGGATTTTAAAAGATTATATAAATACATAGTACTAGTATGTAATTAAACTTTCAAAGGTTTTAAATGTGAAACTATAAAGCACATGCATAGTGTGCAAAATGGGCTATATATAGACTCTAATGATTGTCAAAAGAGTTAGAAAAATAACCAAATTTCCTCATGGAATTTCTTGGTGCAAATAATTTAGTCCAAGCCCACCATGGATTCGAATAAAACAAAATTCTCATCCACAACAGCACTGAAAGGTGCTGCAGCTCTGATCTCTTTTGGCTATGGAAACAGACGAGAGACCAAAGGAAGAATATCATCATCCCCTCCCACCCACTCCTTAGACATTGTGCCCTCAGTCTTTCTCTAATATTTCATACTACTGCTAGTGTACAACTTTCTCCTTGAACAATGAGTATAAATAATAGGTGCATATATTGCTTTAGAGGGCTCCTCTCCTTGGCAAAATTCTCATTCCAGGTCCACTGCCAAGGACCATGGTGTCCCCTTTTAGACAATTTGGGTTTCTGTGTTTTTCGTAGTGTGTGTGCTTTCCCTGTGATTCAGGCTGCCCCTTCCTTGTCTCACTTTGGATTCTCTCTCTCAATGCCAGCCACACACATCCCTCCGCCCAACTCCGGTTGAAATATACTGCATGCCCAAATTAACAATGTATTTAACAATTTCTTTTTCCTAAACAAGCCCAAATTATTCTCTACATTTTTCCTCCATTTCTATTCTCACAACATAATAACAAGCTTGAACTAGAATTTCCTTCAACTTTGCTTGATTATAATTAGGAAGAGATAATGCTGTAATTATCCCTCCCGTATCTGTTGAAACTATAACATCAATTGAGACGAAAAATTAGTATACAATAAGTTTTTTTATTAAGATTGTAGGGGATGAACAACAACTTCCTGAATAATGAATGAGAGTCGTGTCAATAAATAGTTAATGGAACTTATAAAATATTGATAAGCAACAAATTCATGAGTAACAAATGAAGAGTCGTACTAAAAATTTATTCTCACAAAAACTCAATAGTGACAGCAAAATTATCAAAACAAATTTAAATAATACTAGCAAATATGAACCCAGATAAGCTATTTTAGAATATTTGGATCAAATCACATATGTTGTTTGACATTAATGAGCACATAGCCTCTCAATCCAACATGTCCCCTCTCTTTCAGCGGTGTCAAGCTGTGCTTTTTACAAAGAACGAACGAGGAGAAATGGAGTGGTAATTGGGGGGGAGTTTTGGTTGTAAAACTTACCGCTAAAAAGGAACAAACGTACACGTGAAAGGTAAAGAACACAAAGAAACGAAAGCACAAGTTAGAAACGTTTCGACAGGGGAGGCGACAGCTGATAAAAGGGGTCATCTGCCCTGCATGTAAGGACCAAGACAAGCGTCTTTAAAAACGCAACACCAAAGTCAAAATTTAGGGATCTTTTTAAAAATAATTTTTAAAATAAGATGTTTTTAAAAATAATTATTTTATAATTTCAATTATTTTTAATTAAATTAGACAAAATTACTTTTAATAAAATTACATATTATGATGTTATACTTAATGTACAAAAATATATTACATATTATGATTAAATTATTATATATCATATATAAAAATATGTGACATATTATAATTAGGTTGTTATACACCTGTTAAAAAAAATATTATTGTTACATGTTATATACAAAAATATGTTATACGTCATGATTAGGTTGTTACACATTATGTATAAAAACATGCTATATGTCATAGTTAAAAAAAGTTGTTACACGTTATATTAAAAAAAAATATTATTCTTAGATGTTGTATTCAAAAATATTTGTTATACTTTAATGCTTAAAATGTTGTTATTAGTTATAAACCAAAACTTCAAATCTTCTCAACTCTTTTTATTTTTTTTAGTTTTTTGACAATTTGACATTAATTAAAATATTTCTAACATATTTTTATAAATCAAAATATAAATTTTTATCTAAAACATCTATTTCGAGTAAAAATTAAAAAATATTTTCTTTGAAAACTTAGATTTATAAATTTTAAAGTTTTGAATTTATTGATATTTAGGTCCTGAATTGATCTAATTAAAAACTATTTCAAACATTTACGATTATTTCTACCGTTTTAATTTTATTTAAAATACTTAAAAATTAAATTTTTTAAATAGTCACCTTTTTCATAATTATCGCTTGATCTCTTGAAAGTGTAAGAAAAAAAAATTTAAAAATACAAGAGAGAAATCAAAAGTATAATAATCGGATTTCGAAAAGAAAAATCAATAAAATTAGAAAAAATTAGATAATGAGAGGAAAATCAAAAGTATAAATAAAAAAATTATAATAAATAATTTAATTTATTTAAAATAATTTTAAAAATATTTTTATTAAATCATAATTAAAAATAATTAAATTTTTTTAATAATTATTTTTAAAATATACTTATAAAAAAATTATTCTTCATAATTTCCTCCAAAATTTGTCTAAACTTTTTCATTGTCTCCAACGTCATATATATATACACGAACAAAACCTCCCTCGATTTCATCCCCTCTGAACAGTTTGCTTCCATAACAACTTCCCTTTCACTAACCATACTTCAAAAGAAAAAAAAGAGAAAGAGAAAAGAAGAAGAAGAAGAAGAAGAGGAAGCTGGTTTCTCTTCTTGTTTCTTACTTATGTGTTTGTTCCTTAGGGCATTGTCAGACACCCATATCTTCGTCTTCTTCGCCACGTGGTTTTTTTTTTTTCGTTTCTGTAACTGCTAATCATTAAGCTGATCAGTGCTCAGCTTTATAGTAATTCAGCTTTTCTTTACTTTTTCTCTCGAGCTCTTATACATAAGTGAGATGTTCTTGTTCTTACACTGTTTCATTTTTATGGCTTTTTTGTGTTTCTTGGTTTTTTGTGTATCCCTTTGATGGGTATTTCGTGTTGGTGTTCTTCTCGGTGAATTTTAAGTTCATTTTTTTTGGGTGGAAAATGGCTTCTATTCTCCGGTTTAGGAAACTATGCTATGTAGAGCCAGCAGTTAAGTGCTCTTCAGTGGGGTTTGAATCTTTTGATCAGTCTCCAAAGATTGATCAAAAGCTGGACAAGAAAGAAGAAGAGGTCATTTCTGCTAACAATTTTGCCTTGGAAATCAACAAGAAGCGAAAGCAACCAAGGAGGCAGCCCAAGGAATGGAGACGCTTAGATTCTTGTTGTTGGATGATTGGTTACCTTTGCTCCACTTGGTGGCTTCTTTTGTTCTTGTGCCATAGTTTGCCGGTCACATTGCTTCAGGTTCCTGAATCACCAGGGTTCAGGCTTAAACGTGAAGGCTTGGCAGCTCTTCACCCAGTTGTTTTAGTCCCTGGCATTGTGACTGGTGGCCTAGAGCTATGGGAAGGCCAGCCTTGTGCTGATGGTCTGTTTCGTAAACGACTTTGGGTTGGTAGCTTTACTGAAATCTTCAAGAGGTACTTAACAGCAATTTTTTTTTACGTAGGAATTGTATCCTTTAGTTTGAATTTCGATTGAATTTTGAGGAATTATATCGGGCTTCTGTTGGTATGTAGACCTTTGTGTTGCTTGGAGCACTTGTCTTTGCACAGTGAAACTGGCCTTGACCCACCAGGAATCCGGGTTCGTGCTGTTCCAGGGTTGGTTGCAGCTGACTATTTTGCTCCGGAATATTTCGTGTGGGCTGTTCTCATTGAAAATTTGGCAAAAATTGGTTATGAGGGGAAGAATTTGCACATGGCTGCTTATGATTGGAGGCTCTCTTTCCAGAATACAGAGGTATAATGGTTCTTCCTTTGCTTCTACATCGTTATTGCACGTTTGCATTATGTTGTATTCGTGTCTATCTCAAGTATGCACTTCTGTTTTAGCAGAAATGATTTAAGATAAATTGTTAAAATTCTTTAACAAGATTATGAAACTTACGCTTGAGTTACGGCTGGAAGTTTCTATCAATTGGGGAGGTTCTTAATTTTAAACAGAACCAGGCAATGAATTTATCCATGCTTGTCATGGCCCTTCTGCTGTCTGCTTCTGAATATGATGGAAAACAATATCAATCTTTGGCTCCAAACAACACTTCCTGCTTTCATATGTTGCTTCTTCCATGGCCAATTTGCAGCACAAAACATAGATAACATATCAAATTGAGTTTTTACTAATATATTTTTCAACTGGGGATAAGCAGATTCGGGACCATGCTCTTAGTAGGCTGAAGAGTAAAATTGAGCTAATGTATTTAACCAATGGCTATAAGAAAGTGGTTGTGGTGCCCCATTCCATGGGGGTTATCTATTTTCTTCACTTCCTTAAATGGGTTGAAACACCTCCTCCTATGGGGGGTGGTGGTGGTCCAGGTTGGTGTGCCAAGCACATCAAGGCAATCATGAACATTGGTCCAGCGTTTCTGGGTGTTCCAAAGGCTGTTAGTAATATATTCTCTGCTGAAGGCAAAGACATTGCTTATATCAGGTTAGTGTTTCTATCTCTTCCTCATAACAATTGCTGCCGTTGAAACATAGTTGAGATGAAGTTACTGCACGGTACCATTGTATCACAAAATATGTTATTAATGATTTGATCATATCAACTTACTAAATGAAGTTACAAACAAGGTTAAAATGAAATCACCTTGCCTGGTTTTCTCATTAGTGTGGACATGTAAAACGTTGACTGAGATAGAAAATATCCCAATACTTGTGACAACAAGAAATAATGATTTCTTGATGTTAGTGCAAGATTATCAAAAGATTTAGCGTTCAGTATTTACCAAATTTTACTCTTTTGTTTGGCCTTTGTAGAGCCATGGCACCTGGAGTATTGGATTCTAAGATTTTAGGGCATCAAACATTAGAACATGTCATGCGGGTGTCTCGGACATGGGACTCAATTGTGTCATTGGTGCCTAAAGGGGGAGAGACTATATGGGGCAACATGGACTGGTCTCCTGAAGAAGGGCATGCTTGTGACTTCTCCAGGAAAAGACACTCTCAGCCCTCTCCAATTGACAATAATGTCAACAACAGTGATGTGAAGAGAGGTTTCCAAGTGAAAGATCCAGTTAAATATGGAAGAATAATCTCTTTTGGCAGGGCAGCATCACAGTTACATTCTTCACAGCTTCCCACAGTTGATTCAAAGGTATGATATGTATGCTTCAGCTAATGACCTTAGAAAACATATTTAACCTTTAGCTTTTTTGATCTGTTGAATCAACTTAATTCACTACTGAAGGGAGACAACTTAAGAACAGAGTCTTGAAATGACTGAAGGAAAAGAGCTTTTTCTAATGAGAAATCTTCTACTTTTTCGTTTTATCATTTCCAACTTTTAAAATGACAGAACCATGCTACCTCTCATGGATAACATTTATATATCTTCAAGTATTGCCGTGTTCAGACAAGTATGCATTTTCTGAGTACTTGACAAAATAATAGATCTCCTATCTCGTATCCATTATAAAAATAGAAGAAAAGCTGCTGTGTTTCAGTCCTTTTTTTTGTTGTTGCCAACAATCTTGCTTTTATTGTGAGAATCAATAATTAAGTTTCATTCTCAGGAATTTTTGCAGACAAGTGCCTCCCCAAATTTAAACTTTTCCTGTGGAGAGGCCTGGACTGAATATGATGAGATGAGCAGGGAAGGCATCCAAAAAGTTGCAGCAAATAAAGCTTACACAACTCAAACTCTTCTTGATCTGCTTCGCTTTGTCGCACCAAAAATGATGCAACGGGCTGAAGCTCATTTTTCACATGGAATAGCTGACGATCTTGATGACCCTAAATACAACCATTACAAATACTGGTCTAATCCACTTGAAATGAAGTACGTATAATTGCACTCAGATACATTTTGACAGCTTTAATACTTATATGTATTGTCTTTATCTGTTATACATATTAGATAGATTCTATGTAGTCTATTATCTGTAAATATGTGTTGTCTTAAACTCATATCTATTATGTCTCATACATTCAAAGCGTTGACAATATTGTTCTGCTTTCTTTCCTTGCATACATTGAACTTCTATTTTTGCAATTTACCAATATAACCATCAACTTCTCTTGAATTATTAATCCTCAATGACCTTTTCCCATGTGATCATGTGGTCATCAAATTTTGGCTTATGAAGAGACTCAAATATGTCTATATGTCAATAATCAAGTGAAGCACAAACCTTATTGCAACATACCTGTGCACATCCCCAAGATGCACACAACTGAAAATATTCCTTTTTGTATACCTTAGTACTTAATGATTAAAAAGCTGAATATATTTTTCAGACTACCTGATGCTCCGGACATGGAGATATACTGCTTGTATGGTGTTGGAATTCCCACTGAGAGATCATACGTGTACAAGCTGTCACCTACCAGCGGGTGCAAAAGCATTCCATACCTGATTGATAGCTCAGTCAATGGAGAAGATGGTAGCTGCTTGAAAGGTGGAGTATACTTTGCAGATGGAGATGAGAGTGTACCTGTTCTAAGTGCTGGATTCATGTGTGCTAAAGGATGGAGAGGAAGAACCCGGTTCAATCCATCTGGCATTGCTACATACATAAGGGAGTACCGGCACAAGCCACCATCTAGTCTGCTAGAAGGGAGGGGCATTGAGAGTGGGGCACATGTTGACATCATGGGAAATGTTGCGCTCATTGAAGACATATTGCGCATTGCAGCTGGAGCCACTGGGAAAGAGATAAGAGGTGATAGGATTTCCTCAGATATCCTAAGAATGTCTGAGAGAATAAACCTAAAGATAAAACAAGGACAGAAATAAAGTTGCTGTATGAAGCAACTGTTAACAAACCAGACAAGGAATTTAGAGAAGAACAAAAAAAGTTTCTGATGAAAGGCACACTTTATTCATATGAGACATCCCTATTTATA